TAATTTTCTCTTCTGGGTTTGACATGATCTTAATCCAGTGCCCACTAAAATGCACTTCAAATCCCATTCAATCTCCCACATCTGGATGAAAAGGAAGGATTTTTGCTTTGGAGTAGAACACTTGTGCTTGACTGGTGACAAGATTAACTGTAACTGATTTCGTTTTTGTTTTTTAATACCTGTTTGCACCTGGAGATGGTATTTGCCTGGAGGAGGCTGGTTGGAATGCCGTTGTTTGTAGTTGTCTCTGATTCATGTATTTTATAGGCCACTAACTGATGTTCAGTTCAGTTAAAGGCGCAATGGGAAATGATCTGCAATCCCAACAGTTGCATTTACTGCCGTGCCATTTGTGAATGGCAGGAGGCACAATTATAGGATTGGGGATCAGATCCCAAACCTACCCTATTGCCAGTGCAGGGGGAGCCGGGAATCATGATGTCCTGCACCAGTAAGTAGTAAGCCAGGTACTTGGTGCTCCCATAGCTGAGATCACCTGTCATCTGATCAGTGCTCCCAACCTTTCTCTCAGGTGGATTGTCATGACTGAGAGCATCACTCAGCTGACAGGCACTCCCAGCCTTTGGAGCACACCAGTGTCTTGAAGGACTCCAGTGTGCTCCCTAGGCTGGAAGTGCTGAACATCCCTGGTCACATGTTCAATTTAAGGTGCTATGGGAACCAGCCATAAAGTTATTACACAAAATGTGTGTCATAACTGTGGTTTATTCCCTGTTTTATCGCATCATTAATTGCATGAATGCAGCTATGTTGCTACTTAAGATGTGATTAACTGGCTAATCACGTCTTAAGCATAGCATCTGCTACAGGCTTTAGTGAGACCGAATGAAACACTGGTGACAGGTTTTTTATAAAGTTGTGTGATGCCCTCACATGTCTGTCTAGTCTTAGTTTCAAAATCTGAATAAATAGCAAAACGCTAAATATTTTTTTAAACCCAATACAGCTATTGAAAGAGAAACCTGGAATAGACCTTTAATTGCTATCATTAACTAAGCCACTCACAAAAGAAGGAACGGTCAGATTTTTTCTTCAGATGCACACAGGGAAATGGCCAATGAATTTTGTATACCCATTTCTGAGGGCAGATTTAGATCCAAAATATTTTGTGACTGAAGGAAACATAAGAAACACTTTGTATAGCTCTTGCCATGCATACTGCTATTTAGGAGGTGTTTTATTTCCTTACCATGCTGTCTGCCACCCTGAGAACATTGGGAATGCCTGCTTTAATGTATCAACATGTTTTTTCTTCCCCAAGATGAGGTTGCCTCTGTTGTACAGCATACCCAAAGGAATTGTGGAAATGTCAACATTTGTAACAGGATTATTAAAAACAACAGAAAGGAGCCTAAAGCACTCCAAGTTTTCTGTGAAAAACAATAAATTTTTTGGACGCTGTATCTGGTACCAAGCCTGAAATCCTCCTAAATTTTGATAGTGGAGTAATCAACATGGCATAATGAATCTTATTATTTGACAAGAGTATACATTTGGGGAGATATTTTTCTTGGATTTCAATGCATTTGTCAATTTTCTGAGCCTGCTGAGAAGAATACTTTCAGAAGAATTATTTCCCTTTGAGAGCTTGCACCACTATTTTGATTTTTCTCAAAAGTCTGTTTTTCTTTGAAAAAAAAGCTTTTATGTATCTTTTAGCAAAGTTACAGCTGAAGAAATCCATCTACAATTTATTCTATTAACAAATGAAAAGATACTTTACAAAAGCATACTTCTAGGCTTTAGATCTTTGAGTTCCTTTTAAGTCACCATCCAGTTAAAAATTCTGTGGTCTTTATTTTTTTAAAATATATGTGATATTTCATGCTGACTAGAAAGACAAAGAAAAGGAACACTGAGGAGATTTGAACGAGGCCATGGCAAGTTCTGACCTGCCCACATTATTTTTTGTGTCTGCTGTCTAACTTAGGTTGTGGGTTTGCTTTGTTTATTAGGGATTTTTGAAGGTAAAAGTAAACCTGTTCTGTTGCTTATAAAAATGTTAGTAAAAGTCCTCAGCAGTAATTTCAGTCAGGCTGGTGACATGTTCTTACTTGCTTTAAAGGAGGAGTTAAGTACAGTAGCAAATGTCCAAAACTCAACCCCAGCAGGACATTTGCATCCATTTTACCAGTTTTCTAATTATGCAAATATAGGAAACTTTTTCACTGGAATATCACCCTTCCCAAGCCAGATTGCAAATTTTTTATTTGACTAAGTTATTTCAAATTCAGTGCTGTAAAAGAGCCAGGTAAGAAGTAGTAGTAATTGTTAAAATGGCATTCAGGGGTTCCCCTGTTGCCCCTTCTGGTTAGGGACAGACATTACACATAAATTGGTTTAAGTGATCAGATACTGGTTTAAACCTGTAACAGAACAGATGTTCAGTGCACATAAACCAGTTTGAAAATGGCTCAAATTGGTTTGAGATAAACCTGGCTGAATGTAGTATCACACTTAACTGATTTGGTTCAAACTGGTTTATGCAATGTCTGTCCCAGATCCCTTGCTGATTTAAGATAAACCAGACTCCCCCAGCATCCCAGCATGCTTTCTGGGCTGGGTGGAGCTCTCTGCCCCACAGCAAGGCTGGCCCCTCCCCTCTGCTCCCTGGCTGCAGCTCCAGCACAGACTGCTGGCTGCTTTCTCCCTCCCCCCTCACCACTCCCTGCTAAGCAGGAATTCCCGCCTCCCTTTTGCTTTGATGAAAGGTGTCTGGGTATTAACTAGCAGACCATATGTTGGCTGTGGTCCATGCTGAGCCAACAGGTAGAATCAACAGGTAGCTGGTAATGTCCCTCTGTTGTTTTCTTAATGGGGTGATAAACACTATGTTATAAATTCCCTACTGGGCTAATCAGAGCATCCTGCCAGGGCCTGGCCATGCCTTCCCTCAGCTCAGTGCCCTGGATGAAAAAGGAGGGCTGCTCATGCGCACATCAGCTTCTAGCCTGAGCCACTGCAGGCATGTGGGATGTCTGTGTAGTTACAAAGTGATTCAGCCTAGCTAGGTTAGACTAACATGCAAAGATTGAATCAGTTCAGGCTTAGGCTTTTTGAATGTCTGTCCCTAGCCTCTGACTCCACGACAGCTAATTCATCTTATGATTACAAATTTTTGTCATTTAAGGGCTCCTTTACATATGCAGGGAGGCTGCTCTAATGCATTGTAATCACTTGATTAATCGAATCTGCTGGAGCACACTCCTGCAGAATCTAGCATCATATGTACCAGAGTCCCTGCACTGAAAATTGGCAGCAGTGGCACTTTAACCAATAAAGTACCCCTGCCACCATTTTCCAGTGCGGGGAAGCCGATACACATGATGTTCTGGGCGCTTTAATTAGTTGGCCACGCTCATTAAATCGCTGCTTCCCTCCAGCCTCCCAAAGCATGTCTATAAAAACCCTAAGAGCTTATCACATCATGTAATAGCAATGCCAGATTCTCCCAATATTCCCAATCCAGCCAATTGCATATCATGAGTCAGTCCCTCCTCTCACCCCCTATGTCACAAGACTGGCTTTGCAATAAATATTCAGATTTGAGGGATTTTTTGCCTGCAAGGGTCATATTTTCAAACTTTCAATGCAAGTGTGTGGCCTGAAACTAATTTTGGGGGGAAGCTGAGATTTTTTTAATCACTTGTTTCCAGAAGGGGCTGGGCATTGAATAAAAATACTGTTGTCCAGTCTTGCAACGTTTGGTGTTTTTATTCAAGCCCATCTTGGAGACAGGTGATTTTCAGAAAGTTTGGCTTGCCACAAAAAAATATCTTCTTGTTCTAGTCATGCCTCCCATATCATCACTTTCACCATTTACTGTTACTTTAAAAAGTCTCCTGTTCATATGTTCATATGCATATGGGTGTGTATGAGAATATATGTATGCACACACAATTATACACACACGCGTGCACACACACACACACACACACACACACTTGAAATTGTGCAGATGCTGTCTTCTGATATTACTGCAGAAGGGACTTTGGGATTGTATTTGGTTTGAGGGTTTCCATACTGAGAATAATTGACCTGCCCTTTTCCTGCAAGAAGGGATTTTTTTTTTTAATTCCCCCAGAGGCAAAGGTTTCTGCTCAGTCTCTGGCAGAATCTCAAGTCCTGAGGTACTGAAGTGTAACCTAATAATTTAGGTCTCAGAAGAAGGATGGTGCTTAAATAAACTATCTGGTTTTGAACACTCTGGAACTGTTCACTATTAAAATTTAAACAAATCCAGGGAAGTTCACTGCATTTCACACACCATACCTTGAAACAGCTGAACTGAGCTTGCATTTGAGAACCCTTTACTAAAAAGACAGCACGTCCAATGAGAATGGCAGAGTTAGTGCTCTTCTTGTAAATAGTGGGTGTTATATAATTATAAACAGTTCTAAATCTGGTTCTTGTTACTGCAAAGCTTTTTTAATCTGAATGATGTAAAATCATCTTCTAGGGCAATAAAGTATTGGTTGTGACTAAAATATGGCTTGGTATGCTAAGTTTAAAGACTCCCTTAATGAGTAGGGCCATATGTGTTACTGGCTCTCTTTGATGCTAGAGACGTGAAGTCCGGATCTGACCTTACAGTCCTTACTCTGGCCAAACTCCAGCTCAGGGTGAAAGGGTTTGAGTGTAAGGAGTTTTGAATCAGGCCTCTCAGGTTTGTATGACACAGTAATCCCATCTTTTGTAGCCCAGTTGGTGAATATTCATTAAACATAGTTGTTGATCCTATTGTATTCAACAGTTCAGTATTGAAGAAGTTCACTACAGTGTAATCTGACTCACCATCACAAAAAGTACTGTCATGAAGTGTCATGCTAAACTACCAAGTTGCTGCAGTTTTGCCCAGCCACCAGTCATAAGGGCAGGTGAACTTATCATGCTGGATATTGTGGTTGAAACTCTTTCACCAACATCATTGCTATGTTGATAGCAAGTTTATTGCAGCCTTATTCCTTTTCTTTTATCAGGTGAGCTTTGTGATGAGGTGATTAACCATTGTGTTCCTGAGCTAAACTCTTGTCAGCATGAGTCCAAATGTCTCTCCCTTGCCAGAGGATTCAGGTAAGCGTTTTTACCTTCCTGTATTTGATAAAATTTGTTCCTTAACCTGAATGGAATTGTAATGTTGATTTGATCAACTTAATGAGCCAAATACAAAAAGAATGCCCGACAGGTGGTATACTATAGACCATTTTAGGAATGTTGTTAGTGTACATCTTTTTTGCAGCTCCTCAGTGTGTAAGGTACTTTATTGTGAAATAAGTTGTGCAGTTCCAAAATGGAGTAATTATTCTGGAATAAATTATACGTTCTGGAATTGAGCATCAACATGTCATTCTAAAATAGCTATTGCAGATTATCTTATTCTACAACAGCTTTCAAGGCATTTTTACCATATAGTAAGTCCCTGGATTTAGATTCCTGTAACCATCTATATAAGTAGTTTAAATATAGTAAGATGTAACAGATATCACCGTTGGCATCATGCCAGAATAGTATGCACTATGGAAGCATTCCTCTTCATTTCTGACTTCTGTTTCTCACAACTGACTCTGTCTTCATGTTAGTAAATGAAAACATCCCACAGCAATGAGATTTTTAGGAATAGCACACAACATTGTAATACCTCCACACTAGGTCTTGTCATACGTTGAAGCTACCAGCAGAGTAAAGTGCATATTCTTTAAATATTTCTTCTCATAATATAATGAGCTTTGCAAGCACTGAGACAATAGGCAAGATGTTAAGGATGGCTGCTATTTAGATAGGCTGACATATCAGCATTTTTCCCCTACCTGTTTATTTGGTCTCTTTCCCCACTCCCTTATCCAAGCAGAGCAGGTTTCCTCTCACTGGCTGACCACTACATGGAGGACATTTCTGAACACATTTCTGTGTTTTGAAAATTAATAATTTAGGAATCATAATTATGGTTATTGGTTGTGTACAATTGGTTATTGTTATGATTGGAAAAGACCTCCTATCTTTATGAGCAATGAGATATTATCAGTGTATCTAACAAAAATAACAACTAGAGGGTGCACATGCAATATATGTTGTCAACATCATCCCATCTTGGCAGAGTAGATAGCAGAACATAATTGAATGTAAACTGATAAGCACATATTTTGAGTAAAGTCTAAAGTCCTCTTTCCCCCCTTATTTCCAAAAAAAAAAAAAAAAAGAAAGAAA